CTCTTCCCTATGTGGAATTCATCTATTCCTCCCATGTTCCCCCTCCTTACCCCACTATGAGTCAGCCTCCTTATATCAGAGAAAACATTCGGCATTTGTTTTTTGGGGATTGGCTAACTTCACTTAGCATTATCTTCTCCAACTTCATCCATTTACCTGCAAATGCCATGGTTTTATTCTCTTTTATTGCTGATAAAATTCCATTGTGTATATAGGAAAACTGGGAATGGAACCACCATTTGACCCAGTTATCCATCTCCTCTGTGTACACCCAAAGGACTTAAAAACAGCATACTATAGGGACACAGCCACATTGATGTTTATAGCAGCACAATTCACAATAGGTAAACTGTGAAGCCAAACTAGATGCCCTTCAGTGGATGAATGGGTTAAAAGAAAAGTAATGGCACATATTCTGACAAGTTTTTTTATTATTATTATTATGAGAAAAATCCTTCATAAAATGAATGCACTACCTTCCACAAATCCAAATGTCACAGCAAGTATGACACTCTTCTTTGACATTCCCAGCTCCCAGCCCACTGTCTCATCACTGGGTGCTGTCCCTTAGCCTCTATGGGTTGTTGCTCCAAGTAGACCAGCTGCATAGATCTAAACTCTTGATTTCCTCTTTCATTTTACAACACTGACCCTTGGGCCCCTTTCAGCTTGTAAAGATTCGAGTTTTGCCCTGATGCCTTCCTCAGTCCAAGTGCCCAGAATGAGGAAGTAAGATTTCAGTCTTCCTTTGTCAGGATTGGAAAATCAATCATTCTTATCAGTTCCTGATTCCCAGAGAACAGTCCTAGCCCTCAAGTTTGTAACAGACTGAAGCACAGTTGCACTTTCCCAGTTATTATTGGCACAGGGGTGAGAATGGAGCTTTGCCTCCCACATAATTTTAGGCCTGGTCAACTCTGTACACCTTGTCCTCAGGTAACACATCACCCTGCATCACCAAACATGTTTCAACTTCACGCAACTGCAAGGTGTGCAGAGCCTTGTGGATTCAGTTTTTCTTTCACATAAATAAAGAATGGTGGTGTAGGAGATTGCACCTCTTCTCCTGCCAGCTAGAACGTGCTCATTCACTTCCTGGGGCTCTCAGCAGGGCCAAAGACACATGTGCTGTTCCCATGCAAGGAGACAGCCATCCTGAGACTGGGAGAGGTGAGAGTCGTGGACTTGGTGAACCACTAGAACCATGAGCCTCCTCCTCTTTTCTATGGTTGAAATGCCTATGTTCATAGTTCAACGAGTGAAGTAGTGGGGGAATCTCCAAGGTCCTCATATCCTATGATGAACTCTAAATACCCTAGATCTTTTAAAGCTGAAAGAGAATACTTCATGGTGAGGGATTTCTGTAGACCAGGATATAGTATCTGAAGCCCATACACTGGTACACAAAAAATAAGAGACTATATAATTTACCATCAAAACCAAGGCCACTTTGGGGAAGTGAAATGTCAGTTGAAAAAACTACTTTGGGATAAGACAGTAAAACTAGGTCTGTCCTAGGAAAACCAGGTTGCATCATTACCCTAGCAATAGACCATCCTTTGAGAAACACATTCCAAAGGTTTCCAACATGCACAGCTCCTCATAGACATGCTCACAGTACACAGACAGACACATTTCTGAGAGATATGGAGCTTCCAGAAAACCTAGAATGTTAAGATGCCATGGGGAACAGAGGGAAATACAGAAGAGCTTTTCCCTGGAGAAGTGGCCCAACACTGTCACAGCACTTCCTGGGGCCTTTCAGCACTGCAGCCTGCTTCATAGACTGAGCAAGAGTATTTGGTGGTTCCTCTGTCAGAGCTTCCCTACTATGCCTCCTGCTCACTGGGCCACTTCCAATTTTTCTGAACTATAGATGCCACCAGGACATATCATTGCCCTTGACAACATACTATATTAAGGCTGTATCAGAGAATCAGAGATACGCACACTTTATCTACTACCCTAGTCCTCAACAGTCACATCTGTCTACATCATGGAATCAGTGAGACCTTTCTGCTAGTAGAAACTTCCAACCATCTGCCTTCTTATACTGTTATCCATGTTACTGTATCGTATTTTAAAAGACCACTCATCCAAATAAAGTAATTTTCTTATGTCCTAATAGAATAGAACGGGCAGGTAAGATATATCAAGGTCCTCTCCTGTTCTATCTGCTTCTGACAACAGTTAGTTTAGTTGTGCAGAAATTTCAAAAGCATTTTTTTCTCTTACAAAAAAAAAAAGAAAGCATTTCCTCATTGCAGCCAGAACAGTTCTTATCATAATAATTGGTTTCCATTCCTGAAATTCCTGAAGCTTTCTCAATATCCACGTGAGGACTGTTAGAGCAAATGAATTACCCTGAAGGAGATAACCCATATACTAAACCAAGGACCAGAGAGCAAGTATGTAGCTTGGGCCCACGAAAAGGAGCTTCCCTTCTAGTGGGAAATGACAGAAACATTCTCTACGTATGGTATCTGCCACCTGTGCCTTCCAAAGTAGCACAGATCTTCAATCCTGTGGTCTTCCCATGCCAGTTATGCATCACCATTCCACAACTGCCACAATGCCTTCCTCCCTAACTTCCATAATACTGTACTCCCAAGGATCTGACTTCCATCCTAGGCTCAGGAACCCATCTGAGAACCTAGGATGGAGAGCCAAAATATCAGCTTGTTAAGTGAGTTACTCATGGAAATGCTCTTCAGCTTCAGCCTGGAATTCTGGCAAGGACAGAAACTGGAGGGATAATTTCAAGAAAATTCCCTATCTCTGAAACCTGGTAGAAAAAGTTTACATTCCAACTTGGCATCCAAAAGGAATCACAGTTCTTATGTGATCAGGAGTTGGGGCCTAAGAGAATTGAACAAACTCCCTTCGTTCCCTAAGCCTGTAAACTTGCCCACTCCTTCAATATATTTTGTTTTCCTAGACTTAATCCATTTCTTGGATCAAAGTATTTTGTTACATTATATAAAATATCACTTTTATTTGGCTATCCCTCCAAATGACTAAGAAAGAAAATTTGTACAATATGGAGACTTTCTTAATTTCAAAGGACTGGGGAAAAATGTATACTGTATTCAAAATTATTTTTACTTTTGGGGAATGAGGAGCTATGTAGCAAGGAGAAAGGAAGATTTGGTTCCATCTCCATTGTTTTAGTTTCTTAAAAAAATTTATTCTTATATGTCATTATATCATTTTAAAATTAATTTAATATAGTAAACAGGAAAAAATGCAGCCATGACATTACATACTTAGGGAGCATATCAGTCAGTGTTCTCCAGAAACCAATAGAATTATATACATACATACGTAAGATGGTCCCTGGGACTTAATGATGATTGAACTCATATTTTTGGCTTTACAATGATGCAAAAGATATATGTATTCAGTAGGAATGGTACTTGAATTTTTATTTTGAGCTTTTCTTGGACTAGCAGTAGGTAGTAAGTTACACTCTTATGATGCTGAGAATGGAAATTTTTTGTGCTACAGCTCCCAGTCAGCCATGTAATCAGGAGAGTGAGTAACTGATATTCTATAGTGTACAGTATTGCTACAGCATTCATAGCTTGCATGAGATAGTCATTGCTCTATTATAAAATAGATTTTGTGTTATATAATAGATAGATTAACCCACAGTAGGACAATCTAAGTGCTGTTAGCACATTTAAGGTTGTCTATGCTAAATTAGGATGTTCAGTAGATTAGATGTATTACATACACTTGTAACTTATGAAATGTTCAATTTAGAATGTGCACACTAGGATGTCACCCCACTGTAAGCCAACTCACTGGCTAATGTCCACCCACATTAGTGAGGGTCATCTGCTTCACTCTGTGTCAAGTGATATCAGATGTTAATTACATCTATAAAAGATCCTTATCACAACACTGAAACTAGGGTTTGACCAAACATCTGAACACCCACAGCCTAATCAGGTTGATACATAAAATTTAACAACTACAGGGAATTTCTTCTGGCTCTTCTTATCTTCTCCTCCAAACAGAAGCTCTGTGGCTTCAGTCTCAGATCTGTGCATTCTTACAAGGAACCTGCCCAGACCTTTTGAGCTGATGTCTCTGTTGGGCCATTTGGCTTTGAGTTCAAGTTTCTCCAGCATCCCTACGGCCACACACTCTTCCCATGAGCTTGTTCTGCATCCTGAGTCTAGCTCATTCTGGTGCCTTGGCCTCTGTTCATTCTGGGCCACAGACATCACACTGATAACAAGATCCATTTGAAGAATCATTTGAAGTATTGGCATTATAAATGAGAGGCATTCATGCTTTTTGTTATTGTTTTACTAATTATACATATTTCAGCAGAACTTTAATATTACAGTCTTATGAAATTCTGCCAAAGGATAGAAAAGAGAACCCATAATCATTCTACCCTAAAATAACCACTCTTAACATTTTAGTATACTTCAGCCTTTTTCCTATGTATATAATTTTGTAGAGTTGTAATCATACCCAATATATAATTTTATCATGTTTTCCCACTTACCATTATACTATAAGTATTTTTAATCTAGTCATAGAGTCTTCAAGGTTGTCACTGTTAATCATTACACAATAGTTCACTGAGTTGAAATGCTTGATTCACTTAACTATCTTGTTATCTATACAATTTCCAATTTCTTCTTATAATAAGTATTCACTACAATCTTTGTGAATGCAGTGTTCCTTTTCACGCCTTGAACTTTCTCATGGAGTTAAAATTACTTGGCCAAAGAATAAAACTTATGTTGTTTGTTTTAGTCTCTTGCTATACATTTCTAAAGATATTTTAAGGCACATTAATTTACTGTGCTGCTGATGTCAATGTGGACCATGTTGTCATTATTCTCTTGAGATTCAAACTTCCACATGTGAGGATAAGGGACCAGAAGGAACATATCCAGCACCAATGCCTGCACTGTACATTCAGAAAAGTAGCCTGGTCCTTACAGTACAGGTGTTCTGTGTTTCTCTGCTCCTTACAGACTGAGCAGTTGATAACCCTGTGGGTCCTCTTTGTATTCACCATTGTTGGAAATGCAGTTGTGCTGTTCTCCACGTGGAAGAGGAAGAGGAAGTCCAGAATGACCTTCTTTGTGACTCAGCTGGCCATCACAGGTGAGCAACTGCTTCAGTGGGAGAGAAAGAAGTTGTGTGCACAATCCCTATGGCTCCTGCTTTTGATTATTCTATCAATAGAAATGCAGTACTAGCAGTCAAAAGATATCAGTAAACTCAGGAGCAATTTCTATAAAACTGATGTTTGAATATTTCCTTTAACAAATTTAACACATTTATATGCCAGTGAAATATAAAAATAAGTTCTTATATTCAGAATTGGAAATACCATTGTTAATATCACCAAAGGGTTCTATAGGGTTTTCTTATACATAGCAGTCTCCCTAGTTCGCTAAGATAATATCGCCATATCATCCCATATTGGGAACTTAAGTAATACATCCTAAGAAATGAACCAGAAAGATCTCTATTCAATAATAAAAAGAGAAGTGTCAAGTACTTTGCAGACTAAATCCTGTGGTACTGCTTTCAAAGTGCAAGTGAAGGTGTAGCACCTCTGCTGGAGAGGTATGAGGAAGCAAGATGATACCCAGGATCTGAATGTTTAAATGTAAACTTCGGGAATGGCCTACTTGGTAGATGTGCAAGCACAGCACTTCTGGAAGGGAAATGGCAAAATATCAAGAAAGACGGTGATCTATGAAGGGAAGACCCCAATAGGAATGTTTAGAGGCCAGATTGGTAGAGTTCATGTTCAAAAAGAAAAGGAAAATACAACCAGGAAGAGAGTAGCATTCCATAAGGCCAGAGAAGAGAGTGGGCAAATGAGACTTACAGAGGTTCCAGACTAAGCCTGGCTGGAGTCCTGAGCTCTGGGAGCAAGATGGCTGTCATATTACTTTAATTTGGATCAGTCTATAATGGAATATCAGTGGCATATAAATGTGTTAAAATGCAAACAAATTTTTAAGTCTTAAGTGTAAACAAGGATTGATGTTAGATGACTTTCAAAAGGATCTATTTAGTGCAGTTCAACCTGTGCTGTCATCCCAGTTGCAGTACTGGCAAAGGAGTTCTTGGAATTTAGCCTTGAGCCAAAATATGAAAAATATGACATTAACCTATAGGAGAACCTTAGTTATGCCTCATTACCAACCTGGATCCCCCTTTCTTTGCTTATGTATTGTAGCAAGACTCTGAGGAAAGTCGACACAACCTGAGCTACTTGAGCTATGAGAAAGACATCATTAAAAATAGTAGGGGATAGGAAAGGAAGCAGAATACAACAGTCACTAATATGCCATTATGTAAAAATGTGAGTATGTAACAGATGTGATTCTGCAATCTGTATTTGTGGTAGAAATGGGAGTTCAAAACCCAATTGAGTCAAATGTATGAAAGATGATATATCATGAGCTCTGTAGTGTTTTGAACAATCAATAAAAAAAAATTAAAAAAAAATTAAAAAAATTTAAAAAAAAATTGTAAAGAAGGGCTGGAGTTGTGGCTCAGTGGTAAAACACTTGCCCAGCAAGTGTGAGGCACTGGGTTCAATCCTCAGCACCACATAAAAATAAATAAATAAAATAAAGGTATTGTGTCCATCTAACAACTAAAAAAGAAAAAAAAAACATTTAAAAAGTATAGAGAATGTAAGAACCACCTAAGCCCAAAAGGTGGGACACGTGATGGGGGAAATCTCCTTCAGTCATTCCTATAAACAGGAGTCCCATTATTCAGTCTCACAGCTGTAGAGGAGTAGAGTGGTCATCGACATCCAGTAAATCCTAGGATGCAAAATACCTGATTGAGAGTATCACAACTTGTTTCATCACATTTCTCTGATTACAGTGCCGTAACCCATATTCTCTGAAACTATGTATTCTCTGAGAGTGTAAAAACTTAGAGGTGGCAAGGATATCAACTTGGAATTTAAGGTCTTGCCACAAATAACAGATCAATCATGAAAATTTCACCATTATTACCAAAGAGAAAAGATGCATGTTCTGTTCTAATTCATAGTCTGATGAACCCAGGTTTGATTTCTCATGAATGTTCTAGACAGACTGTTAACACTTTCTGGAAAAACTCAAGATATCAGGTGTGGAGCAATTCATGCAAAGAATAATTCTCAAAAAGCACAAATGGTCTAAGATGAAGGCTAAGATGAAGGCTCAGAGGGTCTATGATTAAACTGCTTATATAAGATATGAAAATGTCATTTCTACCCATCTCTCCATGATTTCATATCCTTGGGATAGGAGTGAGGAGGGTACATCTCTGAGGCCGGAGTACGTTTGTAAAAGTTACTTAGGTATCAACTGAGAGATCCCATTCATTGAGATTTAGATTTTGATTGGATTTGAATCCCCTACCCTAAGTAAATGTTATGCCCAAAGTTTCTGTAAATTTTCTGAACCTATATTTGTATCACTTTTGGTTCTTGCTTCCTACTCAACTATTAATCTCTCATGTCACCAGCATCTTGTGTTATTTAACTTGGGTTTGTTGCTGCTGTTCCATGCTGTTCCTGTCAAGGCACTCAGCTCCTTTTTCCTTTACTTTTTAAAATCATCCACAGAAATAGGCCTTGCTATGCTTAAAAGGCTTTACTGAACATTTCAGGCAATATAAGGGTATCATATCAATGAAAAGTTAATTATCTTAGAATATTTTGGTTTTTTTAAAACTTTCAGCTGCCACTAGACATTTCTCAATGTTACCTTGCTCTATCAGCCTTGTGTTTTATCTTCACTTTTTTACTTTTTTTCACTTTTGAATGTCTATTATCGTATGCCAAGGAGCTTTGATTTTTCTATTCTGTTTTTATTCCTATCAAACCATTGCATATTTTCCAAAGAAAACAGCAAAATTTTTAAACTAAAGAACTAATTTCCTAAAAAAAAGAAAGAAGAAAAAGTGCCAGAGAACCAGTGACAATAATAAACAGACAAGCAAAAACACATATTCATATTTCTATTTACATGTCATAACATGTAAATAAACTGGTTTGAATTGTAGAAAACTGCATGATAAGTAATGTTAGCTCAATAACATATTATACCTTCAGCTTTCAAAAATTTTGAGGTGGTTCATTTTAGACAAACTCTGCTGCCTACAGTATTAGAAAATCTGAACACATTTAAAAAATTATTAGAGGGCATCATGTGATTACCAAAATAGTTAAGACTTGAATGACCAAGATAACCTTATAAAAGAGAACACCAAGGTTAAATACATTACTTGATACCACTATTCCCATCTAGGAATCAATTAAAAAGCAGAAGCAGAATCTTGAAAAGCGGAATGGAGTCTTTAGTAGTCTTATTGGACTTTTAGGACAAAAATTTCTTTGCCCAGGCATAGCAGCTTTTTTAATACCAGTATCTCTGATGGGGCTACTGACATGCTACAACTTATAAGAGTGAACTGAAAATAGACCAGCTCTCACCAAGACTAAAAAAACCTCCAACACTAAATGGAATCAGATGATCTATGTGCTACCTCTGTATGTACCTAAGCTATCTTTCAGAACCAAAGTAAATCCACTTTAGAGTATGATAATATTATCAAAAATGTTAAATTAACTATACTTTTTCATTTACAGTTTTTCATTTCATAAAAATAATCAGAAATGCAAAAGACAAGAATTGACCAAAGGCAAGGAGAAAAGTAGACAAGGAAAATTGTGGCACAAGAGATCTAGCAATTGGAATTAACAGTTATAAAATTTATAATTATTGCTAATCTGTTCAAGAAACTGAAAGACTGAAAGTCCTAGAAAGAAATAACAGGAAACTTAAAAAATGAAAATTTTAACATAACTAAATCTAAGAATACAATAGTAGAGTTTAGCAGTAAATTAAATATAGCTGAAGAGAAATTATTGAACTGGAGAATAAATAGGTCAGAAGGAAATAATCAGATTGAAGCATGGAAAAATGAAGGATGGAAACTACAGAAAGAACGAAAACAGCATATGGGCACAGTGAAAAAAACTCTCAGAAAGAGATAAGATAGAATGGACAGAAACAATAGTTGAAGGTATGATGGCTGGTAATTTCCCCAAACTCCTGAAAGACATTAAACCATGGATTCAAAGCACCACAAAGTGGTGCAGATTTTTTTTTAAAGTCAAACAGAGAATCAGAACATAGGAAAATGATGAGATTATGTAAAATCTCCAAAATCTTGAATTTAAGTAAATAAAAACTATTAACTGAATTCACTTATATTTTATTTTTAAAGGTGTGCTCATATTTTAAGGATACATCCTAAACTATGTATAGATAAACTAAAAATATTTCTTTTATTTACTTCAAAACAATTTGAGGGCAATGGTGGGCAGTGATACATATTTTCCGAAATTGAAAATTACTGAAGCTTGATGGTAAGTACATGGGTTCTTAAACTATTCTCTCTAATTTTCATGTTTGAACTCTTCTTGACAAAACTTAAAACAAAAGTAAAAAATATACATGACAATAATGAACAAAATAAAATAAACAAAATAAAGAGATTTAGAGAGTTAAAGACTTTAAAGTCCTTGAATTTTTTGTATGTAGTAACAGTACTAACTTATATTAGATTTTAATATAAAGAAGGTATGTTGAATCTCCAGCGTTATCTACCCAAGTTATGAAAAATAAGTTCCTAGACAAAAGAGAGACACAATGGAATATTTAAAATATGCCAAAATTTATATAGGATATATGTGCTATTATAATTAATTATAGGAAGTTAAGAAGGAAAAGAAAAGTTAGAATTATTAGGACAGAATCAATACAATATAACTTTAAATGAAAAATATATTGGCAGTTGTGTATGGACTAAATATTTCAATTAAAATAACAAGATTATTGTACTAGATTTAAAAATTCAATCCATTCATAAAAGATGTATATCTTAAATATGATGTACAGAAAAGTTAAAATAAAAGGAAAGTAAGATGATAAGGTCTTAGCTTTCTACTGCTATGACAACATAGCTGAGATAATCAATTTATAAGAATAAAAATTTCATTTTGGCTCACAGGTTTCAGAGATTTTAGTTCATAGTTGCTTGATCTGAGTGCCTTTGTGTCTGTGGCAAGGCAGCGC